TCAGAGGCTGGTTCACTAACGGCTCAGGACAGGGCTGGTTCTCAGTGGGTGTCACTCTGTACCCACCAGCTGCTGTCAGGCCCACAAAGGGGGATTCGCCCCTCTGCCCACCGAATTTCATGTCTGGGGTGCAAAAGAGAGCAGAACTGCAGCCTGGGGATAGAGGGGGAAGGTGTGGGAAGAGGATCCTCTTTTTTTTGTGTGTGTGTTTGAGGGGTGCATGAAATTTCTGGAAACTGGTGTGATGCCTGAGCATGCTGGGGGCCCCATGTGAAAAATCCATTAGGAAGAGTCTGGGGAGAATTAAAGCCACTGTGAAAAGCGGACTGGAGAAACAGGAGACAGCAGAGTGGAGGGAGGGGGAACAAGCTAGGCTTTAATGCCAGCATAAAAAGCCTCTCCCCCTTCTGCTACCCCCCCAGCCCTCATAAAAAGAGGGAGTGCTGTATGAATAGGAATTAAAGCAGCAACACTATCTGCCTGCTGCCCAGCTCTGCCAGCTGTTGCAATGAGCCCAGCTTCCCATCCCGGTGCCAGGAGCCGGACCTCTGGGGCAGCAGCTGGGAGATGGGGGGGGTCACCCCAGGCTTCGCTCTGGCACCCAGCCCGGACCACAGGTTCTCTTTGTTCCCCACATGCAAAGCAGAGGTCTTGAGCATCTCCTTGCCCTGGCTCCTGCCTTCTCCTTGCAGCCCCCAGCAGTGCTGCCTCTGCAGAGACAAACCAGGCCTTCCCCGTCACAAGAATGGGTTCAAAAATACACATTTGACAAATGAAATCTTTCTTTTAATGGCTGGGTTCTAACAAAAATGAGATGTATGCAAATCATCCTGCCTGTCCATCAATCCCTTATCTACTACTTTTTGAACCTGCTAGCCAATTTCAGTGGTATCTGACAGAAGAATGAACCAAAATTATCCTTCCATAAAGCTCTTGGAAGGGGCTGGAGTGGGATCCCTGGCAGAGGTAGGAGCTAAACCTCATTAGACATCAGAGAACCCAAAGGGACAAGACGCTACTCCCAAGGGCAGGAAGGGTCTACATCAGAAAAAGCCTATTTTTAGATACCAGGTAATTCTTCTATGATATGCAGATCCACAGGAAACCAGCTTTCAAAAGCCCTTCTGCTCACCACACTGCTTAGATATTTTAAAAGATACTACATCCTGTGGACACATTTTTTTCTTGAAGTCACATTTCAAATCTTTTCCCTTCAATCATAAGGGCCAAGGAAAAACCCAGCACCAGCCAAGATTCTCACTGTAGCCATGGGCATTGAGGAAAATGTCAAACTCCATGAGAATTTACCTTTTGGACATGTATCAGCCCAAAGCTGCTCCTTGCATCAAGCTCCTACAGAGGAAGGCCCTGGATTTCCTTCTGCCTAGCAAAATCTAATACTCACTGCAATGGAAAACTAAGGGGCCTCTGGCTGGTTCTAGTCAGGGAGAGCAGCAGGAACCTTAAAGCTGATGGGCTCATGGAGCTTCCCAGTTCCCAGATGGCCTCAGCAAATACAGTGGTGATCATGTGGGGTTTTTTTACAAGGCAGATTGCTGATGGCAAAATTCCCCTGCCAGTACAGTCCACATCAAATTATCCCAGGACTTTGACCCACTCTGTTACAGATCTGTACACAACTGAAGATAGGGAGATACCTCTAGACCTGCCTCAGCCTGGACAGCCCTGCAATTTGAGAAGCCCATAGCACTGCTGTCCTTCTTTCACAACAGCCCTTGCACCTATGCATGCCCATCTTTGGCTTCAAGGGACCTTGCCTTTCCTCTCCCTACCAGGGATTTCTGCTCTCCTCATGCAGAGCAGGGCAAGGGGGGAGAGGAGGTGGTGGGGCTGGAAAAACCACTGGCAACTAATCCAGAAGTTTAGCAGCTGCCACTGGTGATTCAGAGTGTGACAGCTTTTAGGCCAGATGCCAAATGTGTCTTAGGTTTTAATCTCTCTGTCAGGTCACCTATCGCTTGTCAATCAAGCACTGCTCCCGCAGGGGCTGTTGGCACAGATGCCATCAGACAGGATGCAGCAGACACTCCTACCCACCATCCAGAAGATTAGCATGAGACAGACCCCCCAGGTTTGCTCTTCTTTAGCCCTTGGCCCTACTTCCTCCCACCTAAAGCAGCCACGAGCACTTGCTGGTGCTGTGTGGCATGGCCCTGGCTGGTGGCTGGGCTTTGGGTGCACCTGCTCTGTGCTCAGGATTTAACACTTCCCGGAAAGGTCTCTCACTTGCACTCTGAGCCCACAGCAAAGGCCTGCTGCTGCATGGTGCAGGGCTCCAGCAAGCCCCACGGGCTGTTTGCAGTGATCTTGCTGGGATGAGATCACTGGTGGTGTGTAAATAACTCCCTGCTGCAAGACAAGCAAACGTGGGGGCTGTCAGCCTCTGCCAGCCTCTCCTTCACCTCCGCAGCCTGTCACACATCCAAAGCCATGACTGCAAAGCTGCCTGCCCACAGGCTGGCACAGCCCGGGACAGGGAATGGCACAGAGCTTCCCATCTTCCCAGGGACATCTGCACATCGTGTCCTGACTCCTGGAAATCGAAAGGGTGCAGAGGTGGGGATATACCAGGCAAATAACCAGGGGAGCCTGCAGTGTCCCCGAGGCAAAAACCCTCGGCTGGCCTCAGGAAGCAGGCGGGAGCCCTGCAGCAGAGAGTCTGATAGCAGTCAGTGTCTCAGCACAGGCTCTGCTCTCCCTGCTCCCCCAGCTCTAGTGCTGTGATGCTCCTTTGGTTTTGATGTTTGCCTGGTAGGGAGAAAAGATGTTTTAACAATATCTTTCTCCTTGTGCTTCCTCTGGCTGAAGCCAGTACTCAAGTGCGTGAATGTCCCCCCACATGCACACACACACGTATATACGCACACGCACAAGGGCCAGGGTATGTGTATGCACTGCTGCACACAGTCCTATACAGCCAAGCACATCTTCATAAACACATGCATATCCACACATGCCAATGCACCGATGCTCTTGTGTCCTGCATGCACACGTGACTGTGCAGCAGGCAACCCTGCGCTGGTTTGGGAGGCCCATTTGCGTGCCAGCATGCAGATGGGGGTCACACATGTGTGCATGTTCATGACCACCTCTTTGTCCAGGACCACTACACCCATGTGCAAGCATGCCAGGACAGCATGCAGGCCCAAGCAGTCTATAACCACAGCCTTGTATTATGTCACCCAACTGCCCGTAATAAATAGTTACATGTCACACTACAGGGCTTGACTGCGACTGACAAAGGTCCTGCAAGGCAGGAGAAGCTATTATAGGAATAGATTGCAGGAATAAAATATTAAATTTCCACTTATCAATCTCTTTAATGTGCTATAACTCTAACAGAAGCGTTCAGCCTTCTCCCCCTGAACAAATCATGAGGGGTTTGAACTAGTCCTGCACGCCTGCTCTCTGGGGCTGGGAAGAAGGATGCTGGGTGGCAGGAGCGGGGAGGTCTGTACCCAGGGAAATAGGAGGGAGAAAGCTGCTACAGGGTTTTCTCTGCATCAGCCTTCAGTTTTTTTTCTCCCAAGGCTGGCTGCTCACTAGACTGAACTCCATTTATTGCATGCAGCTCTTGAAAGAGGTTTCGTGCTCCACTGACAATCCCTAAATTGCCTGCAAGACCCAAACAAATGTACCTGTAATAGCTGAGTGAGGATGGCTGAGCCCTCCCCAGCACTGGCCTAATCGGTCCTTAGGGAGAGCTGGATAAACATATTCAGATCCCATGAATTATTAAAAGCTGGGGGGAGGGGGTGGTGGTTTATGTGGTGGAGCCTTGGCCTAATGGGTTGGCTGCTTATCCCTCCTAGCAGGGCAGCTGCTGGTGTGCCCTCCTTCCCTCTCATTTAACTTCAACCCCACAATTTGGACCTTTGGGAAGAAATTGAGATTATAGGCAGACAGACATCAACCTAAAGTCATTCCCCAGAAATCCACCACTCCCCACTTCCCTTGCCAGCACTGCACTGATCAAGTGTGAGAACGATGCTCTCCCAGTCCCCTGAAAAACTGCCAGAAAGGGAGACATTTGCCGAAGGCTGGAGGGGGAACCCACAGACCCTCATCCCTAGAGGAGCCCATGCCCATGTAGGCGAGTCGGTGCAGCCCATACAGGCTGAGCTGCTATTGTGGCACTGAGACAGAAAAAAGCTGGCAGGTGGCAGCAGGAAATATGAAAAGATGGCTGTATGTGATGTTTGGGAATGTGTGTCCTGACAGCACAAGAGATATGGGGTGGTTAGATAGACAGAACCACAGCAAGAAATGGACATACAAGTTATGTAGAAGTAGAAAATGAGACGGTGAAGAGAGCCTGTTCCTCTCTAAGTCTTCTGCAACACCTATCCCACCTCCTTCTCTGCAACTGGGGATGGAGATTGGAGGTTTTTTCCCTCCAATCACTGTTTCAAATGTCAGCCAAGGTGCTAGTTACCCTGTGAATGGTTTCCTATTGCCGATGGGAAGTGAGTCTGCTCAGTTTGTACTAGGCAGTTGCCTGCACTGTCCCAGAAACACAGTGCCTTTGGTGGCAACTCCCAGGAAATGGCCAGCAGCTGAATGGATTTTGGCCATGACCTTCCCCTGGCTTCGGGCGGTTAGGCAGGGCGGGTGCTGTGCCAGGCCTGAACAAAGAGCTTTGTTATTCTGCTGCCTTTCACTGGCAAATGAAAAATCCCCCAGAGAAAAGTATACACCAGGAACAACTCAGCAGGCAAGGATCCAGGACAGGAGGTGTGAATTAAAGGCCTGCTACAGTGATAATGATCATAAATAAATACTTGGTAATTAGCATCTAATTAGCACATCCCATCCATTGACCTCCAAGCACTTGGATAGAGGAAGATTTGCCTAGTTTACCCATGTTACAGAAGTGGGGAACTGAGGTGGTGAGGGTGCCAAACACACTGTTATTGCTCATTTCAGAAGGTCAGCTGCCCCAGCCTTGTCTTTACGCTTGCTCAGCGCTTAACCACTGCAGAGAGTGGGTGGAGGGGGCTGGAGCTCAACCCTTATCAGAAGCCCAGTTTTATCATTCCCGGGTTAGGCAACTCTTCAAGGACTGGGGTGGCTCAGAGATGTAGCCAGCGATCAGAACAGCAGGCACTCTGATTTGCCTGGGGCTGGACAGCAGGAAGGGCTAACAACCTTGGGAACCCATCCTGTGTTTCCCATGCTTTGGGAGCCCCCAGCACCCTTCCTTGCCCATCCAGCTCAGAGGCATCTGTGTTGTCTGTGGGATTTGCAGGATGCAGGCAGCCAGTGGCTCTCCAGCTCACCCGGCTGCAGCCACAGCCCTGCAGCTCTCCCCAAGGAGAGCAGGTCTGCAGCTACAACATCCCATGGTGCCTGCTTGAGCCCAGCTGGAAAAGCGGCCGTGTGCCACAGTTTGTGCTGCCTGCCCACGTGGCAATGGCTGTGCCAAGCTGGGGTGTAGGGAGAGACCCAAAGGAGACCAGTGCTGAGCCCTCACCATGCTGCTGGACAACTGAGGAGCCAGAGGGGATCCTCGGCAAGTCACCCCAGCTGCCAGGTGTGTCTCCCAGGCAGGCAGCACTGCTTCATCAGATGGTCACTACCTCCTCTGTCCCCTGAGAACCCAAAGCTCATTGCAGTGTGGCAGTGCTCCAATTCATTACTGCAAGAGGCACTTCTATTTCACTCGTGAGACCCACAACTGCTCATCACTGCCTGTCATTAACCCACTGATAAAACTAATCGCTCCTTTTACCCCAAAGGAATGGGGTAAACTTCCCTTCCCTGCTCTCAAAGCATCAACATCCACTTTTCCCCTTTGGAGATGCCTTTGTCTCTCTGAAATCAGGCTATCGCCATATGTTACTTCTTCTGTTTAACCTACTTCTTGACATCACTTTCTCTCCCTGACACTATCTAAGCATATTCACATGTCTTTTCCTGACTCTTGTGGCTATATTGATTTGCAAGTCATCAAATTCCTTCTGGCTCATATGACATCACCTAGCACCACTTCCCATTCTCTGCATCCTGTGATGTTATTCTGTTCTCGAGCCCAGACAAAGCTACTCAAGTGCTCACAGCCTCTCAGCAATCTATGGCAGCTCGGTAAGCAAATGCACAGACCAACATGGCATTGGAAGGAACACAAATGAAAAATCAAGAGAAATGTCTAACATCAGAAACACCAAACATCATCCCGAACAAATGAGTCATCCATCTCATGCTTTACTGCAGCAGTGGCAGTCTATATCCTCATCCTACTCCTTCCTCTACCTTCTAACAAATATCTGCCTGACATGTCTTCACTTTTAAAATGTCCAATGATCTCTCTGAATCCAAAGCAGAAGACAAGGGGGAAACAAACTGAATGTATCTTGGTGCAAGAAAGAAAAAGACAACAAGAGGAAAGGAGAAGAAATCCAAGCCAAACCAGTGTGAAATCAGTGCAAAGCAAGAACTTCACTGCTCCCTTTACATCAGGAAACTCCAGACCCCTAGAAGGAGACACTGGTGATTAAGACAGACATTAAGGAGATGTAGGAGGAGATTGGTAGTTTTCAGCCGCTCACACTCTCTTCTCCCCACCTCCTCCTCCTCCTCTTCTGTCTTTCAAAGCACATCAAATGTTTTCCTACCTGTGACATTGACTTCCACCAAGCCTGATCGTGTACCAATGGCATTGGAGGCCTCACAGATGTAGGTGCCAGCCATGCTGTAGGAGACAGGTCCTTTAAAGTAGATGGTGTTGTTCTGGATTTCCACACTCCCTGGCAGAGTCCCGTTTGGCCTAGAGGAAACAAAGATCATGGTTGACCCCAAAGACGATACTCAGTAGGGTCAATCAGTATTGCAGAGGTGACACTGACATGCTGGTCCTGTGCTTGCCCTTGGGCAGGTCCAGAACCCAGTGGTGCTGGCTGGCAAATACCCATTAATGTAGTCAGCCTTGAAAGCAAACCCTCATATAGCAGCATTACAGGAAAGAGTCAGTAGAGTGTCTCCAGGGTAAATCCACTGCATGATGAGAATCAGGTTCTTTACATGGATTGTTGGGGTTTTTTTTCCCCTACTCTGTGATTACAAGGGAGATTGGACATATTTGGGTCACATACAGCCCCTTGGATTTGGCTAATGTGTTGTGGAGCGCTTTCAGTCTTTCATAGTTCTCCCCTAGCCAGAAACAGACTCAGAGCCTTAAAGCAGTTCATTTTCCAGCACAATCCCCAAGTAGGTACAAGCTTAGGGTAAGATGGGCAGGTCACTCTTCTGTTTCGGGTAGCTCATCTCTAGCAGGCTCATCTTCAGAGTGTTCCTCCAGCCCTGACTTTCCATTTGATGGAAAACACAGGAACAGGACACCAGCCTGACCCTGCTTTACTCCAATTTCCTGTCCATGTAACTCTCCTGGGCAGCTGATCAGCCACTGTTAATTGCAACTCAAGCTTGAGGAAAGCAGTGCTGATTTAAAGCCCTGCCACCTATGACCTGCCCGTGTCAGAATAGTCAGACAAGTGTGAAACTGTAATAATGCAAAACTAAGTCTAGAGATACACAGAATAAATGAACAAAGGAAGATAAAAAATAAAAAAAAACCCAAACCCTATGTGTCAGGAAAAGACACACAAGGCCTGGTTGTTCTTAATTACTGAAGCAAAGTAAAATAATTACTTCTCTTAGGCAATTAAAAATTACTCAAGTAATTCTTTACCCTCCTCCCAACAAAAATGTGCACATATTGTCAGCAATTTGTAAGAAACAAAAGGGAATAAAGGGGGTATAATTAGGTTTCTAAAGAAGTGCCTAAATGCACGTATTTTGCATGTCTACATACACACATGGGCACATATGTACAGCAAACACATTAGTCTTTCCCAGCTACATCCAGCCACTGATCCTACAGCTGATGGAAGAACAGAATAGTCTAATATTGGCCCTCTGCCTATGGGTGAATTAGGGCCCTGAATCTACAAAGGATCCATTTGATCTTTCTTTTTTAAAACTACATGAGTGCTTATAGAAAAGAAAAGAGAGAGAAAGAACCACCTCAGGTTGTATCAATTCCTATCTGATTCCCTAGACACCCCTGACACTTTTCAGTCCTTTTAGTGTGCTCAGCCAAAAGCTGAAACCCTGGAGGACAAGGAATTGCTTCTATTTCGTGTCAGTCTCATGAGGATGAGTACTCCAAAGGGGAGCTCCTGCTTACAGCTGGGGCTGATTTCAGGGGAAGGTTTTTTCACAGGCAGATGAATTTTGTGTTATTTGTGCCCCTTTACAGAAGGGAAATCCTGGATTCTTTTCCACTTAGCAGTGCTGGGCAAATTAGTTCCAGTCCCCGTGCAATGAAGGCCTCCTGGCAGAGCTGTGCCAAGGAACCAGAATCAGCTCCAAGCATTCTGCAGGAACACAGCCCCAGCAACTACAAATGTCCAACCCTACTCTCACATGCATGGGTTTTACCTTGGAGTGACACCACTGACAGTAATGAGACTGGGTCCTAACTGACCAGAGGATGACTGAGGTTTCTACAGAGACTCCTTGGCCTTGTTTGAAGATCATATGTGCTGCTGAGAGCAGAAACACTGTAGGCACTTACAGCTTCCATTCATAGGTGTGAGCTGGGGGGTTGGCATCAGATTTGCATATCAGCTTCACATCCTTCCGGTTGAGAAACCAGTTACCATCAAAGCCCTCAATAGTGACTTCTGGCTCATCTGCAGGGGGACAAAAAAAAATAAGGAAAGTAGGATGGAAAAGGAGAGGAAGGAGTTATGGAAAAGGAAGGGGAGGAAAATGAAATAGGAAGAGATGAGGTGTCAGGGATGGGGGAATGAGAGAGATTGCAAGGTGAAAGATGATGGGACAAGGAATGTGAGAGAGGGTGAATGAATGAAAGAGAGAAGGGGAGGAACAAAGGGACATGGCAGAGGCAGAGAGAAAGAGGGTATGAAAAAGAGAAAGCATATGATTATTCCAAGGGATCACTTCCATTTTCACTCTCCAGAAAAGCAGCCCCCCCACTTCAGCCCCTCTACCAGACCAACATCTTCCCTTCAGAAAAATCCTCTTTTTGCCAGATTTTATCACCCACCCCAGAGGCTGACCATGCAGCATTGCTCTCCAGCCTTGCCCATGCTCACTTACACTGCACGTTGAGGGTCATGCTGTCGGTGAAGCGGTCTAGCTGGTAATTGATCACGCACATGAGCTGCTGCCGGTGGGCCTCCCGGCTCGGCACCAGCCATGATCACTGTGATGGTGCCATTACTATTGCGGATCTCCTGAAACTCTGCTTCCCCTTTGAGTTTGGTGTCCCAGGTGACAGTGCTGGGGGGCTTCCCATTAGAGGAGGTACAGGTAGCTACCAAGATCTTTTCTGTCCTGCCAGACTTAGCGATAAGTGGCCGCTTGGTGCCCTCCATCCGATTTGTGGGTTTGGCTGCAAGGAATTGCAAAAAGGAGGAAGAGGAGAAGAAAAGGGTATAAAAGGATGGTTAGAAAAGCAATGCTACCCTCTCTACTACAACCCAAGAGAGATTTAGCACCACTGAGCCTGTGACAGACCTTGTGGTGAATCCAGAGCTGCTGCAAATTACCAGCATCCTACTCTGGGGAAAGAACAGTGGAGTGGAGGTGCCCTAGATGCACAGATACATGATGGAAAGCAAATCCTTCCCTGCCGCATGTTTTCAGCCCTATGTTAGAATGAGAAACTGAAATTGGAGAGCAAATGAATCATGTAGACTTTGGGTAAGGTCTAGTCACTCACAATCCTAAGCTTCGTGGACAAGCTCTACTTGTGCTTAGGATCTCTCTGTTGTCTATTCTCTGTCTTCACTTGACAGCCACCAGTTCATTAAAACTCACTACTCCCTTACGGAACAGGCCACTGTTATGGCACCTGCATTAAGAGACAGGGGAACTGAGGCCTGGAAAGAGGAAGAGGTGTTCCTGAGATAGCTCAGTGAACTACCTACTCCAGGTTCCCTGGTCTTCACCTCTTTACAGTCAACTTGGAAGATCATCACAGGTAAAATTTACACCCAAGATTCAACTTTGCCCTGAGTTCCCAGGACATGAGTCTCAGGTTCCTTCAGCTCTATTTAACTGGAGGCAATGGTTGACACTACAAAGCTTGTCCAGTATCTTACCCAGTACAGTGAGGTTCAGTTGACCTTCCCGGTTGCCGGTTGGGAAAGTAGCAAACTCACAGATGTAAACTCCCTCATCCTCCAGCTCTAGCCGAGAGAGTTGAATGGTGCCATCTTTGAAGGAAGGGTTCCGGAATGTCACCCGTTCTTTGTAGGGAGAGAGGATGGAGACCCCCATGGCAGGGTTGTAGATGGCCACATTCTGCTTGGAGCCATTTGTGGCTTTCTGCCACGTGACCTGCGTGATCTTCACATTGGGGAGTGGATTGGTGAAGCTGCAGTGCAGGACCACATCTGTCCCGATAAACCCCGAGACTGTGTCATTGACTAAGACACTCTGAGCTTGCAGCCCTGCAATAAAATGGAAAGACATAAATATACATGTACTTCTCTGGCAAAGAAAGAGAGAAAAAGGGCTCGTGACCACCAAATGGCACAAGGCTGGATCAATAATACTTTCCTTCCTTTTGTCTTCAACTTTGGATGACACTAAATCAGTTATTGTAAACATACAGAGCATGCATATTTGGAGGCATATGAAGGCAGAGATATTTATCAGTGTAGCACATCCTAACATACGCTAACAGAGACACAGACATCCATTTAATCCTATTGGAAATGCATCAGTAATTACATGAGCTGCAAAGACTCAGCCCTGATTTCAAAGTAGCAACAGTTCCCATATAAGAACGGATTTAGGGCAGTGCCCATACACCTTGCACGATCTAGATAATTTCTGTGGCCTTTTTTAAGCCCAGAAGTGGCTGCATTTAGGAACCTTTAATCTGGATTCTACAGAGTAAAGATGAAAGGTGCTTGGGAAAAGTGGTGGCTGGTGTTCATGACTGCTATTCTGTCTCAGTTGATTCCTCCTCCAACAGCTGGAGAAAAAAGTCTCCCACCAGACTGACCATGAAATTCATCTTTGGCTGCCACTGTACCTTTCCCTAATCTGTATGTTTAGAGATAATGCTCTAGTAATTATACAGCCAGTATTTATATGATAAATACAATAGAGAAGCAAGGTGGTGAGAACAAGAAAAGCGGGTTTTGCTCACTGCTTCTGGCAGAATCTGGAATTGGATGTATTCTGGGAGACTGAGAGTGAAGGAAAGAGGCGTAATAAAAGAAGAAAGAGTAGAAACATGAAAGGATAATGAAAGAGAGAGGCTGGGGAAAGAAAAAAAGGCAAGAGAAACAGGACGGCATCTTCTAACTGAAGGGACAGAGCATTTCTGAAATGTCACTCCTACCCCGATCTTCCAGGGGACTAACAGGCTCCCCATGCAAGGCCAAAACAAACTCCTCAGTCTTAGCTCCCAGAGACCCCTGGCAGACATGACTGTGATTTCTACACATGAACATGAGCAAGAGTGGTCTCCATCCCGCAGTTTCACACACACACACAGATGTAGGCACACAAAACTCTTACCACCCAAAATACTGCCTGTACCATTGTCTTGGCACGCTCCCATGTTGCCCCCTCATCCCATGCCTGCTGTACTCAGCCTAATCTCAGTTCCCATAGCTTATCTAAGGCTCTTCTTTCTCCCCTTCTCCTCCCCTCCATGCCAAGCCTGTGACCCTGAGGACAAGGCTCAACAATCCAGCCTGGCCATGAGATGCCATCAAGCTGACCACGGTCATCAGCAACTAAGACCGAAACTCAGTCTCTAGAGCTTTGTTTGAACTTGCCCCCGTCCCTGAGTCAAGCCCTGGTTTGCCCCACACCCTAGCATTTCGGCTGGGTGCTGAGGAATGTTTTTCAGGAATGCTCTGCTTACAGCCACAGCAAAGCACTGGTGCCCTCATGTGCCTGCATGCACAAAGCCATCAAGTCCTTAGAGGCTGTCAGCTGAGCTGGCAGCGTTGCACATTCCTTCCCAGTGTCGCTGGGCCATTTTTGCCATGCATGTCCCGCTCTGATAAAGTCACAGCTGGACCATGTTTCTCCACACCAACCAGAAGCACTGGCCTGCTGGAAAGGGATGTCCAGGCGGTAAAACACAGCGAAACACTTCTCTGACACCAGTCTGGTCAGTGCCCTGTGGGACCCTGCAGCCAGCAGTGGCCTTCCTGATGAAATGAGGGCACCGGGTGCAGCACAGGGCTGGGTTTAGATAATGCCATGCCGGGAGCTGAGGAAAGAACGGGTGGATGGCGAGCAGGGAGATGTCTCCAACATGCTTTGCAGCATATGCTGCTGCTTCTACCCCAGAGGCGAGACAGCCTCTTGCAGAATTGCCCACACCTGTGGAGGTGAGCAACCGCTTTGCCAAGGAGTCTGGCTCTGAAGTCTTTAGAGCCTCGCAAAGCGTGTGGGAGCTTGCCAGAGAGCAAAAGCAATCACGTAGCCAAGGCCCTGGGAACAACCTGCCGCACAATCTCAGGGCTGCCTGGCTGTAGGTGTGCTCAGCACTCCCTCCCAAGGCTGGAGGAGAGCGGATTCATCAGCACCAGTCCCCACCTCTCTCATGAAGGGCCCATGCCCCCGAGCAGAGCCTGCCTGGGGCTGGGGCGATGGCACAGCTGGCTCTGCTCTCACACAAACTCCCTGACCCACCACAGGCCTCAGCGGTTCCCTTTGAACCAGGCTTTCGACATCCCAATAAAAGAGGCTCCATTCGTGACAGCAGGAAGATGTGGCCCAGTGTCTCCTCACAGTGTGCCAGAAAAGCGAGACATGAGACCTCCAGAGAGGAGAGGATGGAAAGCCACCGGCTTCTCCTTGGAGTCACCCTTCCAGGGCAGCTGGGAAGACAGCCTGGTCTCTCCCTAGCCAGGTATGCAGACGAAGAGCACGGCATGCAGGAGGCTCTGCCAGGCTGAAGGCCACCAGTGCCCAAGGATGGGCACCTAAGACATGCCCCTTAAATAAAGATATTATCAGCCAACCTGCCAGAGAATGTGGTATATATCACAAAAGAGAGATCAATCCAAAGCCTTGCTTCATCATTAATATGTCCTTTCTTTATCCTGTGACTTCTCTGCAAATTAGTGAATGACCTTTTTAAAAAGCAAGTTATTTTTCTTGGGTAGTAACTATTCCCAGTTCCACCTTCCCCCTTCTACCCTACCCTACCTACCCTGCCATGGGGGACTTTGGTGCTTATGAACCTGAACCTGAACCAGACCCCAGAATGGTCCTGCAGAACCCTCCTCTGCCCAGGTGTAAAGTAGTCAGACTTTTGGCTAGGGAAAAATCTAGTGGCAGTTGAGGACTGCTTGCCAACACCAAAATGCTGCCAACACCAGGGTTCAGGCCCCTACATGTAGCAGCTTTAACAAAAACACATTCCAAACTTTCTAGAGGCTTCAGGGGAAAAGGGAATAAAAAAGGCAGAAGAAATAACAAAACAAAACAAACAAAAAATACGCCAAAAAAACCCTAAACACTGTGCGGAAATCGTGTTTCCTCTCCTGGTGACTGAGTAACTCATGGCTCTTTAGCAATTCAGGGTAAACTCTTTATGTTCCGCTCCTCCAAGGCTCTCATCAGGGAAATAATGCACCCATTGCTCTGCTCTGTACCACAGCAATAGCACCCACACCTCAACAGGCGTGATGAGGAAGGGGAACAGATGGAGTAAAGGGGTTTTGCAAGTTGCTGGATCAGCTTCCCATGCTCTCCATCCTAAATCAGAAGCCAGAGGGCAAACTAGCTGCTGTCATGCTCTAGGGAGCATTCGTTTGCAAGGTGACTGAGCTGGGACGGTGGGTCTTCGCTCGCCCCGTTACACACTCAATAATTCATCAAGGCAAATGCATAGATAATTGATGGCAATGAATGTGCAAGGCTGGGAGAGGAGGAGAAAAGAAAATCACTAATCAGCCTCTGGAGAGGCTTGAACATATTAAGCAGGATGTGTGTGTGCATGTGCAGTGCTGGGGTTTGCCTTGCTTTTTCTTTGCTGAATGATGTGTGTGGTCGGCATGGCAGAGAAAAGGCTTGGGATACATCCTGCCATTTGCAGTTCTTATGCCAGATCTCCCAGTGCCCACCAATCCACTCTGACACCTCCCAGGGGCAGACAGCACACAAGGAAGGATTAGCTGTATAGGTTGAAGCTTGCTGAGTTGCATTTTACTCATTAGTTTTTTGGTGTTATTTTTTGCTGAGGACCAAAAACAGTAAAAAAAGGCCCAGCTGAGTGCCAAAGACATGCTGGTGCCAAGACCTCATTAGTGGAGACCTCTGAGATCCTACTGCTCCACCTTGGCCTCTGAAGTGGTTTGCGTTGATGCCTTTCCCCACGATCCCAAACCCAGATACTTACTAGGTCATGCAAGGCCTTGGGGGAACTGTGCAGAGCTCAGGTTGCCCTGTGGCACAGGCAGTGCGCTGGGAAGGAAGATCTGGAGTCCTTGGGTGTGAGGGGCGCTGGGGAGGGAGCAGACTAAGTAGCAGCTGGTGGCTCTTGAACCTGAAAACCCTCTCTCCTAAAAGCCTGGGAGGTGCTGTTACATTGAGGCTCCCACACTTGCAAATCTGGTTCTTGCTCTCCCATATAGAAAGCTCTGGAAATTATCTCCAGGCACTAGTGAGCTCTGTCACAACATGGAGCCTCCAATCAATGCCTCTTTGTTAAGGCCCATGTGAACTCCACACTGCTTTGCACAACCTTGCCTCTGCTGAGCCTCTCACCAATTTCTCTCCCTCCTGTTCCCTGATACTCATCTCACCCCGAGGGCATTGAAACAGCCCTTGGCAGAAGTGTGATGAGCCACCCTTTAGTGTGGCAATATCATGGCTGATGCAAATGTCAGAGGAATCAGTCCTAATAGTCTTTGCATCACCTAGAACTAAACTGAAGGGGATGTGGAGAAGGTCACAGTAGCCAGACCTTGTAAAAGGACAAAACAATGCAGCACATTTCAACCTACAAAAGACCCTACACAAAGCACCTGATTTTGAGACAACCCCTTGCCCTGCACCTTGACTATGGGCAATGATGTCCTGTACATGGTCCTGAATGCCTCACAGACACTTTGAAACAGATCTACAAGAACTTTCCACAAGGGATAAAATGGGACAGAATAGGAGCTCAAAACTTTCTAGCTGGTGGCATTTATAAATTTTTCTCCTGGTATTTCTGAACGCATCTTTCAAGTCTTCACTAATTTTAAGTGGAAATCAAGGTCTAAAATGCAACCCTCATGGAGGCAGAACATAACCAACCTCCAACAGCCCAAAGGAACGCCACAGGTGTGTTAGGCAGGGTGGGAAATGGGAAAGAAGTTCCTAAATCCCAGCAGGGGAATTTCAGGTGGCAAGAACCTAAGGTCTGAGCTGGCGCTTGGCCAAGATCTTGGGGTTATTACCTTTCCTCTTGCCAGAGAGGCTTTGTATTGATTGCCAGGCATTCAAATCAG